CATCTAGCCCATTTCAGAGCAAATTGATCCAAGGATTGAATCCTTTCATGAAAGAAATCAGGGGCTTTAAAGGACTGAGGGGCTTAGAGTTCAAAAACATGGGTGGGCAATTTGTTCCATACTCCCACAACCTTCTGTGTAAGGATGCACCTCCTGTTGTGGGTTTTAAACACACTTCCATACAGATTTAACTCGATTCTGAACACAAGGTTTTTCAAAGCCTTGTGAGGGTTTTTAATACCTGGATTTGGTCTCCTGGTATTTTTCTCTGATCAAAAAAAGATGAATTTCTGTTAGCCTGACAGAGCAGAACATTCCTTTAAGCCCTGAAATGTATCTGGTTGTAACTGGAGCAGCAGAATATTCTAAATGAATTAACACCTCTTGATTTAAATTCTGCACTTTTCTCTATACGTGTACTGTGTATCCTAACAATTTGTTTTGGCCTTTTTTGAGAAGGACTGGTAGCTCAAATTGTATACTTTTTGCCTTTTTATTTCCACCTGCCCCAAAATCAACACACAGTTGAAGACGAATACAGTACCTTTGTGATTTATATTTTGTGTCTAGTTTATAACATTTTAACAGAAATAAACTGCTTTAGGCAACATTTCTGATCTACAGTATCGCGCTAAGAGCATTGCCGTTGGAGTGGGAGAGAGAATATGCTCATGAAAAGGAAACGCTATGTAAACCTACCACCTGTTTATTTTGAACAATTAAGCCCTATAATGTATTTCTTCGTTCATCTTTACGCAGTCAACATCTTTTGTAGCTGCATATACCCAGGCGATTTCTTCTCCTAAGGTCTAATGTTTTTGTATCACATTAATAACCGCCCAGCGTACCATTGCATTTTCTCTTTATTTTTGCTGAGTCCGATTTCTGTTTGCCTCTTGTTTCTGTGCTCTGTGCCACTTTCTGCAGCATTTCATATTTTAAATCGCCCCTGTGTGATCCCCCAGTTGTGTTATCAGCACGCATTTGTTCCTGCACCGCTGACAAGAGTGCTCAGTGTCACAATCATCTGCTGTGATGTCGTCCTCTGGTGCAGTATGAACATCTGAGCACATCTACTCAGCAAAACAATGCAGTAATCATCGTGATAAGGTGACTTACAGTATATAGTAAAATATCTCATTATACTATATATATTTACAGTACCTATATAGTAATAATAATTTAATAATGTAAATATATAGCTCTCTATATACTGTAAATGATCATCTTCAGAATTCAATCTGTTAATCTGAGCAGTTTGAATTTCACTCTTGACTTATTGTTTTCAACCCTGCTAAGTTTTCAAAATGATTTAATTAACCCAAAGGAGATAGAATCTTGGCTTTTATGAGCACCAATATGTAAGTTTAATTAAGTTTAACACACTATATTAAAAAGCCACAATAACAAGAATTCTGTCCAAACCTGAGATGTCAAGTTAAAATGGTTTCAGTCTCATCGCATCCATTGTGTCTGTTTTTACAATTGCAGAAGCTTTTTGTGTAGCATGTTAAAGGATGTAGTCAAATAAAATAGATTTTAAAAATAGCTGCAGATGAATTCTACAGTATATGGCAAGTGGACGGTGCACACACTGATGGCCATGTTGTTAATCAGAGCGCTGATGAACCTCACATCTCTTGCACAGTACGGTACATCCATCTGATAATCACACATGATAGAAGCTATGCACAGTGGAAGTCACATATATTAAAAAAAAAGAATAAGTATAATTTTCAGAAATACATAGCAGCTTAAAGAACTGAAGACTTTGCAGACCACACTCTGTAATCATCTAAATGATTTAATTCCTGCTGAGATAAGGTGTGTGGGTGAAGATAAATGTGCACGCTTAAGATCCTTTTTTGCTGTAATTGGTTTACACGGTGTGTTGTTAAATTAGAAGAGAAACTAAATACTTCAGCCTTGTGAGCAGAATAAGTGCAGCTATTGCATTAACTTGTTCTTTTCTTTCTCTCATCGAATGAAGTTTATTTTGTTAATGTCAAAGCAGGTCATCTTTTTATTGCAGACTGATAAATAGAATAATTTAAATATTCACCCACCACTATTAACTTGCAGAAGATCTGCTTCTACTGCAGAAGATGTACTAGAAAGAAGGTGCACTCTTGAAAGCATATTTACATTTTTTACATTAACTCTCTAAAATAATATTGTTATAGAAAAATCCATTTTATCACTATCACCATTTTAACAATATTGATATTGACTGATAGTGCTGATGCATAGGTAGAAAAAAGAATTACAGAAGTAAATATATATATACAAATAAATGGTCCTATTTATATGAAACAGTTTCATACAAGAAATTAAATTGTGATTTTAGTGACTCATCATTCATGTCTTGATCTTTCATGACATGTTCAACAGGATGACATACTGTATCTGAGGAGATCTCGATAGCAGAGAGAAAAAGAACAAGAAAAGAAAGTTGTCTTTTAACAAAACAAAAAGGAAACAGTCATATAGGATCTATTTTTTTCTGTTTTTCCATTTTGTTACAAATGCTCAAAATTTCACAATACTGTACAGTATGTCAGGCATTTTATACAAGTTTATGAGGCTACACTTCACGTACTACAGCACTTCCAGTACCAGGTAAAGGTCCATAAAAGGCATAATTAAGATATTACCAGGATAATATACTTTCTCTATTCTTATTAAACTTGAAGATATCAGTTTATGCTTAGCTGTTAAAATTAATTAAGATGATTAATATAAACAATATTGTTTTTGAGATTAAGATTAATTTACCATCTTGCATTCATTAGGCGGAATATAGTGATATCACAAAATAAAAAATTATAATAAAATGTGAATACAGGGGTATTGCTAAAAGAGGATTACAATAGACAGCTTTCTGAAACGGGTATTCCTAATGCTACAGTATATTACATCGGCAGAATCTAGTATAGTTAACAAACTTACTGTAACTGCTGTATATAACTAGTTAATAGTGTTTGTATACTGTATATACAGTAACAGCAATCTGCAGCATGTATGCCTTTCTGAAAATGGGGTCAACCTACCTTAATATGAAGGTGTCTTTGGTTGTAAGTCTCTTCAAACACTACTAACAGTTTAGATACTCCCTGGTACGATAAAGTTTATCCTTGCTGATTTATGGCAAATGCACTGTGAGCACCCCACATATTACCGAGTTACAATATCTGGGTACCTGTAATTACTCCAGTACTAGTTTGTGAATCACTCGAGTTCCAGCCACAGAACATGGCCCTTACTAATTGAACCACCTCATTTTCTAGCAAGTCCTCAAAAGGCATACAGTACCACACAAAGTGTGGCAACATAGCTGCATTTCTTTCCTTAATTTAAACACTGCTAATTTAAACATCTTATGGTTTCTAGGATTTGTCATGATGGTCTTACTCTGTAAAGCTATAGAGATGCTTAGAAAGAGGGAATAAAAAAAGAGATACTCTACTTGAGAATAGTTGTTTGAGTTGGAGTGACCCTAGAGGAAGAAAAAAAACTTGTTAAAATATTGCAAATTGGTTTTGTCCTGTATAAGGCTGTTTTTGCCCTTCGGAGTGGCTTGGTAGCTACATACCTTGCTTAACCTTACAGTAAACACATCTCTTTCTCTTGTCTCTGCTGAGATTTACTTTGATGATTCTTCTGCCCTGACGAGCATATACAGCCTTTTATACAGGTATTTATTTGCTGAAAGCCTGGGGATCATCTTGAAGTTAATAACCTTTACAATGCCCTCTTCTACAAAGTGAATCGCCCAATTAATTCTGGTGTAAAGACCTTGACTTGGAGTGCTGTGTTTTATCATAAAATGGAGTGTTGAAATACAGGCAACGGAATAAAAATATAGTGTGACCGAAACATTTAATGGTATTAAAAGGTTTTAAATCCTGGAAACATTAATTGACATGCAGCTCGGACTAGAAAAAGAAACATATGGGAAAGAACTTGGTCTAACATCCCCAATGAATCATAAACACATTTAATGTTGTACATAACATGCAAATTGGCAAGTACGTAATCCTACACATAAGCATTCAATTCAGGCACCATGGGGAGATGAAATAAAGCCCAGCAAATGTTTCAGATGAACACTATAACAACATCTGCTATTTGCGTTTTTTCTCCCATCAGTGAAGCATGCTTATCATTTTAAACACTTTCAAACTGTTCAACTTAATTATTATAGGCATTGATTTAACAATTGTAATGTTAAATAACTCTTAATTATTTTCAGTTGAATACCTGTCACGTGATTCTCCAAGAGTTTAGGAGGGTTTTCATGATACTCTGAAATCCGAGATGCACTTAAAGTTCGATATACAATATCGTTCTTAAATAATGATATTATTACATCTATTTGGCAGCTGTTTCATTCATAAGTAGGTGTTTTTGTTCCTAAAAACGTTCTTCAATTTTCTTTTCTCATTTCCCCTTCCAATATCATTCTTTGTAGCCATGGGAGCATATGGCTTCTGTGCTGAATTGTCTACTAAATAATAATAGCAAAGCACAAGAATGGCCTGCAAATCACTGCTATAATTTATTATATATAATTGTTACATATAATTATTCATATCTGCTTTTCTGCAGCAGTTTGTAATGTTGGTTTTCATGTATAAGTCTCAGGAAGGGAGCTATGCAGAGCTCAAAGGCTTTAAAAGGAATCAAGCCATTGTATTACAGGGCTGATCCTTGGTGAAATGGACACTTAATCCTTATTCACCCTGCTGTGATTCCTCACTGTTCAGAAAATAAGAATAAAGAGAACTGGATGTGACAAGCATTCCATAAGAGTGCAAAATACCTGCAGCGCAGTGCAATCCCAGGGAGAACATCTTCATTGTAAGGATCCTCTCAATATACTTAAAAATTAGTCTGTCATGTTTTTGTAGGCTATACAGTAATGTTTCTAATCTGATCACAATTTGAGAAGTAAGAAATCTGCCTTATCTCATCTTCCCTATTCCTTGTTTTTCTTTTAGGACTTCCTCACAGATCTTATGATGTCAGAAGTAGACCGCTGTGGTGAGAATGAACACCTCATATTCCGAGAGAACACCCTTGCCACCAAAGCAATTGAAGAGTATCTCAAGCTAGTGGGGCAAAAATATCTCCAGGATGCACTAGGTAAGTGAAGGAAGGCCACAAATTGACCAAGTAAAATCTATATCCTGGATAAAAAAACAGACCTATCTTTTGAAGCTGCTGTTGGAAAGGAGAAATGGCAATTGTATCTGGAAACGAGATAAAAAAGGGCACTCATTCTGGGATAACATCTTTTCTGTTGATAGAACTTATGATTTTCCCTCCCTGCCTTTGTACATGGTGACATTTAAAGATACCCCTGGAGGTTATGTGGTAGAAAAGCAATAAAGTTTATCTTTCCTCCGAGTGTCCTTAAGCATCCAAACAGTGCAGTGCCAGTGTGTCTTTCCCTTTGTAATTTGAATTTATTTTTAGGTTGCTCATTCCCATGAGAAGTGAGTCCTTGAGAGTATCACAGTACCCCTACCATTCCACTGAAAGTGCAGCTGTAGTGCACAGAGGACCTGCAATTCCATAAATGTCCCACTTACAAAATTCCAGAGCAATTCCGGTGTTGTCTTTTAGAACACAGTAGAAAGCTTGTGAACTTTTTATGCAACTTCCTTGTTTTTAGAATAACTGAGAGAATACAAATGTTGTTGTTTTTTTACTGTGCTTACTTTTTTACTAAAAAAAGTAAAAACCTCACTAATACTATACATGAAGCTACATATTTTTGTTTTGACAAATAATCTTTCAGTATGCAGTTAATTGATCAAACATTTTTCTTTCAGTCCTTCTTTTACAGGTGAACATTATTGTACCACCTGACAGCAATTCATTTTTAGATTTAATCTTCCATGTCAAAAATCGAAATTTTAAAGTTTAGGGCCATTTAAGACAGAAAATAGGAGACACTTCTTGTCACAAAGAATTGGAACCATCTCTCAAGTCATGAAAATCCTCCATGAAATTACTCCATGAAATCCTTTAAGAAATGGACAGATACAGTAGGAATATTTGATCTTTAAAGTAATAGCAAGTAAATGAGCAAGAAAGGTCAATTAGTCTTCTCATTTGTAACCTTTCTTATGTTTTCATGTTTATATGTAACAAACAGTAACTGTTATCAGACTTGGAAAAGGTAAACAGCAGTTCTTGTTAAAAAAAAATCTCCTCTTAATTCTGCGCTTTCATTTTAAAACATACGAATTGCACAGAATATAAACATTTGCTTTGAACTAGATTTGAGGTAGGTTTAGGCTGTTGCATGATGACCATACTGTAGATAGCAGTGACAACAGGAACTTTAATTTTGTGGATACATTGAGTTAATTGTTTCATTTCATGTGAATTATGTAACATAATTTCAGTGCACCCAAGCATTTGTCAGCACAAATTATACTGGTTTCTTAAATAGAGCTGATTATGTAATTTGTTCTTTGAAGTTATTATCATACAAGAGAAAAACTCCATGAACCCCCACAGTTTTTCAGCTCTGTCTTCAGCTCTCTGTCCCTATATACATGTTTGGATGTACTGTATACAGTACATGTACAGTATACATGTATTGTACATCATTAAATAATTAATCACAACAACATAGATCATGAGACTTCTGCTTCATTAGTCTAAAATATTTCAGTTGCCTGAAATATTTTAATACATTGGTATACCATATTTATTGTATAAGGAAGCCATCATTAATATCAGTACCCACTCAGATCAGTTTATTAAGTGTAACATGGATTGTAATTTCACAATCAATATAGTTTTGCATTCACAAAAACCAAAGCACCCACCTACAAGTATGTGGCATCATGCTGTATATCCTCAAGAAAGAGACATCTTCTCCGAAATCAGTCGTCACTTGAGCACTTACAGATTATGAAGAAAAGAGTGAGACAGCACTTCACAGAGCCAGTCTCACTGCAGGTGTTTAAGAGATCAAGCTGCATGTGATTACTTTCAGTTGATTACTTTTTTGGGTTAACGTCTATCATGAGTTTAAGTGGCTCAGTGAGGCCAGAAATTATCTTGGTTTCTATCTTGTAACGCGATCAACGCTTAAAAGACTCCCCCGGGTAATCATTTTTACTGCGGAGTTGACAGGTGAAATAAAAGTGTAAAGAGCTTTTCTTAAGGATAAAACTGAGTTCACACTGGGGACTTCTCCTGGTAAGGGAAGAAGACCTGCAATTCTGTGCTCCTCTAGATCCCTTTGACACATATCTGTACCTGCCTATTTCTATCTACTGTATAAAGTGTGTTCCTACCCATAATAATTAATTTGCATTGCATAAACTTTAAAAAGAGCAACAAGTCACCTTTTGCTGCATGTGTAGTTGCATCAATTTATAATCCAAGCCTCTCATACATACCAATGAACTGGGAAGATGTAGTCTTTGTTGTGCCTCCCTGGGTCTGTCGCACAATTGGTATTCAGACGTTGTATCCAAGCACAACATCAAATCTTTCTGCGTGGAATGAATGATGTACAGTATTTCGCACTGGGTTCCCGGCCAGCCAGAACCTCTGAATCCCCCTTGCTCCAAGCTGACCCAGTAAGCAGTGAGCATCAGTTCAGCACACCAGCTGTGAGACTGAAGTGTACTTGGTGGTCCTGCCATCCACAGTGACCACTTATTCCTGGTGTGTGAAGGGGTGGCCAATGTCACTACAGAGAAATGTAAATAGATACATTAAAAAATCATTGAGGGATCACTCCTGCCAATTTATAAATCAGCTATCCTCGATGCTCCCCCAAACGTCCTCTGCTTATTCTTTGCTAGTGTTCTTGGCAGAATACTCCAGCTACTTACTGTAGCTCCCTGATTAGTCTCTCTGATACTCACAGCTCGGTGCTAGATTTGTGTGAACACCTTTTACACATTCTGGGTGTGTGAGTGAAGGGAGATTAAAGAGAGCCTGTAGAAGTTTAAATTCTGCATTTTGGGGGGATGAAAGACCTGCATACAGTATAAAAGGATGGCCAGTTGAATCTTTAATGAAGAGATTGAATCGTGTGCAGGACTGGCGTCCCTTCCAGGGTGTACTCCACCTGGGAACCTTTGCTTGCCTAGATTGGCTCTGGCTCCCCTGCAACCCTAAATAGGATAAAAGCGGTTAGAAAATGGATGGTCGGGTGAATCTTTTCCAAGCATTTTTTTTGTTTTGTTTTACAAACGTATTGGACAAACAAAAATATTATTTCTCTTGAATCGTTTCCACATGAATTCCTTTCAACATTCTCTCATAGTCCTTCCTAGAATGGGGCGCCTACAAAGAGGCTTGTTTTATAAGGCATCACCAGCCAAGATTCGGTTCATACTCATAAAACGTTATTTTTAGAGTATAAAGTTCAATCCATATTCAAATTTAGACACTATTACCTAATTTTCTTCTTGTATCCAATTCATTCCTTGGAAAGTGTATTTTTCACTCACTGTCAGTACATGCATATTTTTGTGCAAAACCAAGTTTCGAAGACATTAGATTACAGAACTGTAGTTTTATACATGAAAGTAAAAAATATATATTTTATACCTTTCTTTAAAAAAATCTGCTCTTGATACCATACAGTACATTCTTTACAAGAGCACACTAAGCTCCAAATTATGTTCAATGTCCAGTTATTGAACATTATACTACCTATAAGAGAGGTATGTTCACATATTTCCTGACATGTTGTATCTTAAGCACAGGCATTGAATAAAAGATTTATTTAGTTGTTTCATGGGATTATGTTTCCTAAATAACCTTCACTGCATTTGTTTAAGTGTTGAATGTTTGAATCTTCGAAATAAGCGATTTTTAAAATTAAATTGGAGAAATAAATCAAATGGCTTGGTGCCAGAGTTTCACATTGACCTGGTTCAGAGAAACACTGCGAGCAGAATTTACATGCTCCAAAAGATGCTAGTCTCCTGCGTGTTCTTTTCTAACTCTCTAATCCTAGGTGGGTCATCATTGAATTGTTTCATGGTGTAGTGGAAGCATTAAAAAAATCTTGGCCACTCAGGCTGTTGCTTCAACCCTAATCCTTCGCAAAGTTTTTGCAGATTTTCTTTATTTTAATGTTTAATTGTAAGAATTTTTCTTTTCGCCATTGAAACTGTTTATGCTCAGTATACCTGCCTAGCTGAGTAACTTCATGCTAGGCAGGTGTACTGGGACAGATAAGGCATTAAATCAGAAACAGAAATTGGGGTCCTGCATAAACCAAGATGATGGGCTAGCCTGCAAATTCCTAAACTTCTCAAAAGCTGCTCCTTATGAACTGCTGCACCAATTAAATTGAAAATTGGCAGATTGCATTAACGACCAAGGCATTTTGAAATTTGCACCTAAAACATTTTGCTGCTATGATGGTTTTTATAATGGCACCTGCTGCTGAAATGTTCTTAGAAACACAGCCCACTACACAAACTTCTACTGCTTAAAATATGTGTATACAATTAACTTAAATTTATAGGTACAATTCTATTACGCAAGGATGAAATACATGAAAATTGGGTTCCTGCATAGGTTATCTGACTGCAATTTCTTCATTATGCAGCCAGTCATAAGCAGGGTCTCCTGTTTACAGTGCGTTTTGGCCAAATAATTTCAAACTTGGTAAGTTAATTTTAGTGTCAAGGCAAATATGCCAAAATGGAATTCCCGCCTAAACCACCCACCTGTCTGTCTTTGCTAAATCTTGTAAATTTTACTACTGATTGATTTCATCATACCAAGAGCTGCTTCTTAATTTCTCCTCATAGGCTCCCAGAGTTATTTTCTACACCTAACACATCATCACCTACAGTACTTAGTAAAATATGACCTGTACCACTAACTGTTCTTCAAATGTCATTTTCACTAATGATCTCAAAACTCAATAGTGATATTTCTAGTTTTCCCTTAGTTTACTTAGCGTTCACTCATATTGTTAAAGCAGTGGTAGGGAGTTGCTTAGAAGCCTTAAACTCATTTTAGGATTCTGAATTTGAACAAAATGTGGGGCACTAGGAGAAACATATTTTGGTGGTTCTATGAATACTCTAAGCAGCCTGTCATTTTCAAAGTTACAGATGTTAATTTAATTTCTTTCTTCTTATGGGAATCCATGGAAAGGTAAATTAATTTAATAGATATTGTGTGTGATTAATTTTGCATGTCTTGCTTTTGACACTCTGAGGAATAAATCTATCACAATGAAAAAAACATTCACTTGAAAGATACAAAGCCATTTGTTTTTAATAGATGCAGTAAGTGCATTCTATAATGTTGTATTTTCTGTTATGATGGGAGGAATATACTGTATATTATTGTTTGGCAATTTTTAACATGCCAGATATTTAAGTCTATGCAGAAGTATTCTGTTTTAATAAAAGATCTGTCTTAAACTGTACTTAAATTCTATTGTCCGGTTTTATTTTGAGCTGTTTTTAAGAAACTACAGTATACCAGTATACAGTATGTTTCTGTAGAGCCACAGGATTTCTAACCTTAATTGAGGTGATTCTCTATATTTGACTGTAACTTTGCAAGAGGACTGCATGAAAATACTAAATCCAAAGAATTTTAAGTAAACACATTTCTTTCACTTTGTTGAAAACTTGCTTTCATTTATTTTCAGTTGTTTTTTTTCCTTTATTGCAAAATCAGTTTGACTAACATGCTAGTTTAATCAAAGGTTAATCAAAGTGAATCATTTTCATTATTTCAGTTTTCATTTTTATTAGCTTCAGTTTTCAAATAATAGAAATCCTAAGGCCATAAAAGGAAAATATATTTTTGTTATGCTGTGAAAAAATGTTTTGTAAATACTGTATAAAACATATTACATCAGAGTTTGAAATCCATGACTGTATGAACTCTCTTCTTCGTTGCTTGAATCGTTTGCCATTATTGCACTATCTGAGTCATGTCTTGGCCACTATTTCTATATCCACACCAAAAGAAAATCAAACTTTGACTAAGAGTGCTCTTGATAGACTTGATGCTGTTCATAACCATTTCTTGAACACGGAGGGCAGCACTGTATGTGTTATTATTGTAATTTCATGAGGCCCACTTAAAGTTTTTTAAACATTTTATTAAAAGTGAAATATTGGTTACGTTTGTTGTGTATTTAAAAATAGAATTCATTGTTTATTACTACGCACCTCTAAAAAAGGAGCAAAAATATCTACTTATGTGGTGTATTCCACCTTATATTTGAATAACTTGAAAAACACAGAACATGCTGCTCCCTCCCAGCACATTTCTCTACGATTGCCCAAGCAATTAAGGAGATTTTTGTTTTTCTTGTTCTTTACATTATTAGGATAATGCAGGAAGCAATGGAGTGTTTTTTTTTCTCTTGTTTGAATTTATAATGCGTGTATATATAGTTTGCGTTGGGAGGCATGCTGAAAGGGGTTCATTAATGATTCAAAGATGATTCATTAACCAGGAACTTGCAATGAAATCACTTTGTTTTTACACCGTTAAAGGATCAAACCCTTCTTTCTCTTCTAGGTGAATTCATCAAGGCCCTATACGAGTCAGATGAGAACTGTGAGGTGGACCCCAGTAAAAGCTCAGCTGGAGATCTCCCAGAGCATCAGAGTAACCTGAAAATGTGCTGTGAACTGGCCTTCTGCAAGATTATCAACTCCTATTGGTAAAAAACTGCCATTTTCAATAGTTAGCCACATTTTGTGAACTAAAACCAAACTATATGCTATTTGATTTGGACATTGTCAGCCATGATAACACATAAAACATATTTAATTCAAGTAGCATTGTGTCAGCATGCATAGGCTGCAAAGGAACAAGTAAAGAGTTTATTCCATGCTGAAAAGAGAAGAAAAGAAACAACATTTCGTCTGTGGAGCCCTTTTCCGTACCCAAAGCAGCCTCCACAGCCGAAATGTTGTTTTTTTTCTTCTCTTTTCAGCATGGAGCAAACCTTTACTTGTTCCTATAAAATATTTATACACACAGCATCCAGCTGATTACCTATCTTTCTCCTAGGTCTGTCTACCAAGTTCAAGTATCCACCTTGATCCTCATGTGAATTGTTTACTGTTGATTTAGAGTCAGCAAAACAAACCTTCAAGACTAATAACCTGTTTCTGAAAATTAAGATTAGAAAGACCTTGTTCAGGACTTTTAGTTTTAGTTGCTGTAGTTGCCCTTATTCTGGGCCTGCCAGGTCCAGGCAGGAGATGGACCAGTGCAATCAGACACTGCAAGCCCATAACAGCTCCCACTGCTTCCATTTACACTGTCAAAGTCAGGAAGAGAGCCAAGGAAACTGTCCATCTACAGACACACTGGGTGCGATCAGCACCCGGTCCACTGTGCACTATCCCTTGAGGATTTCCACACCAGCAGCGAATGTCACTACCCAGATTCCAGCCAAAATTCAATCGGTGATATTTGGAATGCAACCTACACGCTGAGATGAGTTCTTCTTCAATAAAATATGCAATATTAAAAAGATGAATTTCCAAGCAATGACATGTTACAGTATAAAAATATAAATTACACTAGATAACCTGATATACTGTAGCAATTGCTTGATATGTATAGTACAATAGGTACTGTAGCATGTACTGAAGTGTTGTAATACTGGCCTGTTAACTGTTAAAAAATTTTTTAAATTAAATTCAAATAATGATGTCCTTTCTAGAGTTATAGATTTTTTTTTAATTAGTAGCTTCTTAGTCTGTTATTAGTAGTAAACTAGTAGCATATTTTTCAGTGGACTAAACAGGCTTGGTTGACAACACTAAACGAGAAACAGCAGTTGATCCAATTAAGCCACTACCTCTATTTTTCTATTAGTTACGGATTAAAGGAAAGGGAAGCACTGAAATTGTTATTGGGGTTCGTCTCACCTGAGCAAATAATTCAGCATTTGCTGAGGAATGTCATTAAGATTAATTTCATTTGACTGACAGCAAGGGCCGGCTGCACTTTGAAATATGCACAGGAAACATTTGGAACATGAAAACCAAGCTTCTCATGAGATTCACTCTGAAGTGAGATATGTGGCCCCATTAGTGGATGTACACTTCCCAGCATACAGTTTCAGACTATTAGGCATAAGAGAGGAGGAAATATAAAAGCCTTTAGGAATTTAATCTATCAACAGTAAAATGCTTTGCCCTTTTTATCTTAAAAGCCAGTCTTGATTCTAAAATTGCCCAGGCATTTCTTTTAATGGTACTTGGGTCCAGGCAAAATAGATACTGGCTGAAAATGAAGATTTCGAGTCTTGCCCTGTGTTCAGGTATCTTACAGCTTTTTTTTTTTGTTGCAAGACTCCACATACACAGTAGTGGATTTGCTGATCACCGCCCTTTCAGTTCTACTCAAAGGCTACAATGATTGAATTCACCGATATACACAAAATCCACATACGCTTTGGAACTGGTGAATGTACAGTACTCTCTGGTTTGTTACAAAGCAAGTCCAAGGTCTTGGAAATGAAGAAGGGGTTATGGCCTACTCACAGATCTACAGCACTAAGGTGTTTTGTAGGTTTGATCACCGCTACTGCTACTACTTTGTAGATATTCCATTTCAGTCTTTGGAGAAGTATGGAGGTCTGAGGTTTTTCCAGTTTCAAGTATGAAATCTAAACCTTTTCTTAATTCACATTCACAGTCGTGAGACATTACTGTCATCCATCCATTTTGTAACCGTTTTGTAGTTTATCCCAGCAAGCAACCAGCACAAGGCAGAGTTCACCCTGGATGGGACACCAGTCCATTGCAGGGACATACAGACACAGACACTCACACCAGGGCCAGTTTTCCCAGAAGCCAATTAACCTACCAGCATGTCTTTGGACTTTGGGAGGAAAACAGAACTCCCAGAAGACATCTACACAAACATAGAGAACATACAAACTCCACACAGATAACTGCCCAGGTCTGGCAATTGAACCCAGGGCCCCAGCATTGAGGCAATGATGCTAACCACTGCGCGACCATGCCACCTTTCATTATGGTCAAACCCTACTAAATGTGGGTGTTTGTCAGGAATCCCTCAGTGGGATAGCCATAGCTGTACATACAAAGTTTATCTGAATTAATTTGACTAAAGGAGTCAAATAAAGAAAATTCCGAACTTCAAATTATTAGATGATCTTATTTGTCTATACCTTCCCAAGCCTGTGAGAACAGAGACATCTGCAATATGAGTCAGGTATTTTAAAACACTGGCATTAATGTACAGTGGTGCACCGTTGGGTCCTCAGTTTGATTTCCCTGTATCTGCACAAGGTTTTCTCCAAGTGCTCCAGCTTTCTACCACAGCCCAAAGACATACTTCCCAGGTTGTTGGGCGTCTCTGAATTGTCCCTTGTTTGCTTGCGTGAGTGAACACATGTGCTCGGTGCCCTGCAGCAGACTGGTGTTTTGTTCAGGATGTGGTTCCGCCTTACGTCCTGTGCCTGCTAGGCTGACCTGCAGCTCACCGCAACTCTTTTGAGGATGAAGCAGTATTTGGAAATGGGTGGTATAAATTGTTGTATCCTGGGGCAGCTGCAAACAGATGACTTCCTGTCTCTGTTCCAAACAGTGTTCCATGTGAAATTCTGTGGAACACTAGAGACTCCTTCATTTTACATTCCTAGTATGCAGAGAGGAAAAAAAAAAACAAAAGGGGAAAAAAAAAGTGGGGGTTTTTTTACCACTGTTTTGTCCTCTGCAGCGTGTTTCCTCGTGAGCTGAAGGAAGTGTTTGCTTCATGGCGCCAGGAATGCAGTAACCGGGGGCGACCTGATATCAGTGAGAGGCTCATCAGCGCTTCATTATTCCTGCGGTTCCTGTGCCCTGCCATCATGTCGCCCTCCCTCTTCAACTTGCTCCAGGAGTACCCCGACGACCGCACGGCCCGCACTTTGACCCTCATCGCAAAGGTCACCCAGAATCTGGCCAACTTTGCCAAGTGAGTGCTGAACCAGGGCTGCGACCTTTCACCTAATGCTGTGTACTTAGGAACAGCAAAACACAAAACTAATAATGAAGATTTCTTTGATCTATTTTTCACAGGTTACCCACCCTAACATCAGGGAATAAAGGACCCTGTATTGTTTTTTGGTCTTTAATTAATTTTGAAAAGCAGTTCTAACCAAAGTGTTTGAAACTTAGTGTTAGGTTACATCAAAGTGTGAATGCCCAATAGATTTTATATTACATGGTTTTATGTAGATGGACAATACTAAAAAAAGAAAGGCTGTACTTCTATAGTGTTATATATATAATATAGTTTAATATAACTATAGTCTGAAGTATTAGTTTTATTGAGTTTTGTATAGACACCCCCTTGTGCAAAGGTGGTTGTATTAACCCTGGGCTAAATGTATATGTTAAATATCTTTCACTTGCCCTGGATTCACACCTCCTATAGTTTGGTATCAGATTAGTCAGATTAGCAACACTGTGCTTAACACTTGCTGAAAGGTTCTCTTGCAGTTCAGAAAATATTACTTTGTTGTCCCATTCCATTCTGCCCAAGTGTTTCAAGTCTGCCTCTTATTAACTAGGCGTATCTCTGATGAAAAATCTCTTGTCTGCAAAGGCCCAGAAGCTTTCAGCCTTGGCTAATAAAGGTCTCAGTAGAAAAGATGTTCATGTACTATAGAAGAAACATTAAGTATGAATATAGCTTTGATACAATTTTGAATGATGCTGCTGCCAGCTTCAGTGAATTGATTTGCTCTTTTAGCTTTTGATTAGTCATTACCAAGGTGCCTTTTTAAATATGGTAGAGAAAATGTAATACCCTTTGTCCGTTTTTTACACATCTTACCAAATTACACTGGCCAGAATTGGGACAGTAAACAATACTGCTGATACAAAATGAATCCAGCAAAATGCCTTCTGCCTCAGACTATATTGCAGCACCCCTATTCCTACAATGATCATGGCATCATGCATACCCAAAAAACGTCAATGTAATAGCATCCAGATACTTTCCCAGGCTTAAAGAAATGTCCTGCCGGTACCGACAGGCTAAAAAAATTGAATCTATTTCGTCTTAAACAGCAAAGACTATAAGCCAATTTCTTTCTCATATTCAAAATCCTCTGAAGGGTTGACAAAATCATTTCAGTGTACTTCACAGATCATCGCTGAAACACAAACCGGAGGAACAGAAGTTTAAGGAAAGTGTATTTAAGGCCTAGAACAAGAGACAGTTCATTATGTGATGTTTTTTGGGGGTCTGGAATAAGACACCCAGTCACATTGTCGAAACTGATAATCTTGCTTTTGACCCAGTTTGTAGCCATATTCTTATGTTTTTATAAATAGTATGGTTAAACCCAGTCTTTTGCAAAAAAAAACAGCCTGCTGTCTGCATTGCCTAGGTTTGGCAGCAAGGAAGAGTACATGTCCTTTATGAACCAGTTCCTGGAGCACGAGTGGACCAACATGCAGAGATTCCTGCTGGAGATCTCTAACCCTGAGACCATCTCCAACACGGCTGGCTTTGAGGGCTACATCGACCTGGGGAGAGAGCTCTCCACACTGCACTCCCTGCTGTCAGAGGTCGTCTCGCAGCTTGAGCAGGTAATTCGGAGCCCCAGACAGCAACAGCTGCAGGCAGACAGTTATTCCGTTCATTTCTTGGTGATTGGATATCTATCAAATACGAGAATGTTAAAACACAAACAGATGCAATCTGGTGACGATTTTAAGTGACCAAAACAAAAACGTATTAAGATGTTGCTTCAGCTTGTAGCACATTGGATTGGGATTGCTTATTATTGTGGTGTAATAAAAATAATCTTTAGATACATCTGGCAGATCTGTAATTTAAAATTCTGACTTCAAGATTTCAGATGCATTATAATAGACAGGTTTTGATATTGATATACAGTATACTGTAGTGCCTGATGAGGCAGAAAAATATAAAGAAATTAGAGGTCATTTAATATAATGAAAATGTCATTTTCTGGTATTCTGTATGTATTTTGAGGAATACACGATAACGCATACAGTACATCATTCTACAAAAGTAATAGAGAAACTGCATTGCATAATAAAGGTGTGCAGCGTTTTGTGTTCTGAAGCTGAAGAATGTAAGTCATTTTGGGTTTGAATGGTGAGTTTCTTCCTGTTCTGGAATAATGAAAGACAAGCCGGAGTTAAAGGCTAATGCACTGTCTTGATTAGATTTTTTTTTTTTACTTCAATGGACTTGAAATCTATTCTCACCATTATGTTATCTAAGCTGATTAAAAAAAACCTTTGAAGTGTGATGGTTTTTCAGAAGAAAAAAGAGATAGTAGTGTACTCTCACACAGTGAAAGTTTAAAAAACAAATGAGAACTTTTGAGAATATATGAGAAATATTGCAGACTCTTTCAATGTGCTCTTTCAAAGCAGATGTGCAGGGTAATATTTTATTTGTCCAATATTGTTTTATTCTTACAATAAGAGTGCTTATGTAAAGAGATGGAAAAAACAGACCTTCATTGATTAACTTTAGCTGGTTTGGTGGTTTAATTTTCTTGAAAGAATGAATCAAAGGTATTGCTTTTTATTTGCATTTCTTTTTAAAATCACATTTGTTTTCCTAGGTAACGAGGAGTATGTACATAAAGCAGTGTTCATTTATTATTCTACTACATCAGGGTCATCAATAACCTTATTTTCCAGAAAGGGGAAAAAGAGAGTAAAACAGGCTTTCCTCTTCTCCTGCAGGGTACTGCTTCCAAGCTGGGACCTTTGCCACGTGTCCTGAGAGATGTGAACACAGCACTTACTAACCCGTCGAGCGTGCAGGTCTCTGTCACCTCTGAGCGTGTGGCCTCTCCTCCCAGCGCTGGCTGTAGCATCTCCACAGGCCTGCAGAAGATGGTCATTGAGAATGATCTATCAGGGTAAGGAGAACTGGATCGAAGCAGGCGTGTTCTTTCCAGTCTGCTGGGGAAAATGTGGACATGCTGACAATTCTGTAAATGAAGTACTGTTTCCTGCTGATGAGTCAGAGGTGACTTTACAGCCTTTTTTTCTGAATATGCTGTTTCTCTTGTTTAGCTGATAAAACATACAATTTATTTTATGTCACAATGTAAAATCTTGTTTTGATATCTCAGTAGCTGATGATAAAGATCACTAAATTATATATTGGCGAACACATTTGGTCATGCTCCTTGGACCACACCTACACCATCTACCTCATTATGATTTCTTTCTACAGTCATTGTTTACATGTCTGCATTGTTTACATTCAAACTGTTTACTTGTTTATTTGTACTGTACATTGTCTACTGTTTGTCTTGTATTGTCTTGATGCACTGTCTGCACTTTGTGTTTTTACACTTTTTAACAATCAAGAGACTTTCTGTAAGAATTCCATTGTACCAGTACATGTACCGGTTACATATGGCAATAAAGTTCAAATTCATATATTTTTTAAATTAATTATGTTTTAATTTAGAAATTTAGGATTTTTGTATTTTGTTCCCTGTCCACTGTATTCAAAGGGCTTTCTGTGCTTACTGCATAACAATATGCAACATTTCATAAAAGTGAGGTGCTGTAAAACTGGTTTCTATCAATTTAAAACACATAGTGTGTACCAAAAGTTCCCAAAGTTTAAAGCTGGAGCCAGTTTGCCTTTTACAGATTTCCATTCTTCATGTATTTTACCAATTAATGGTTTCCTGTTTTATTGTAAATCCTTTGAGAAAATGGTTTAGGTCATTGTTTTCTGAGATCAATACATATACTGGAATTAAGTACTATAGTGATGTCTTCTTTGACAATGATATCCACTACCTGCCAGCACGGCATTGAGATTTATGTTACAAACTTAAAATACTGTCTGTGGCTCCTTTAGTGACCATGCAAAGCCAACCAGACTGAGAAAGGTTTAAGACAACTGTGATTCTGAGCTCAATGACAGAACTCTGCGTTCCTTCACAGTCAAGCCAGTGATTAGTGTTCTTGTGAGGAAAAGGTGTATGTTTTTTTAAACTATTTTTCTTACTCTCGTCATAGTAAGTCATAAGGGAACCCTTTGTTTAGTACTTTTTCTTTACTATCCCAAAACAAAAAGGATCCCTGAAACTGTTAATAAATTGATGTTTGCTCAAATAAAACCCCAGAAGTAAAAAATAAGTTTGATTTTAGTAAATGGTAGTTGAAGAATGCATTTTTTGAAAATGTCTGTGTCGTTTCTCACCATGTGCCCTGGCTTTCTTGTGAATTTTGTTTTTTAGCCTGGTTGATTTCACACGGCTTCCATCACCCACCCCCGAGAACAAGGATCTCTTTTTCGTCACCAGAAACTCGGGCGTGCAGCCCTCCCCAGCTCGGAGCTCCAGCTACTCCGAAGCAAACGAGCCCGAACTGCAAATGCCCAACGGCAGCAAGAGCCTGTCCATGGTGGACCTGCAAGACAATCGCAGCTTGGAGAGTGGGCCCAACACCGCGGGCGTTGGAGACTCCCTGAATGACAGTCAGTCGTCTATCGGACAGCTGACAGGCGGGGTGTGGTCTGCACGGACGCCGCAAGGAAACGCCAACATCGGGCCGACGATGAGGAGGGCTGGCCAGACCCCCACGACACCCAATTCCGAAAACCTGCCGGGGCGACCGCAGCTGCTGGCCCCGTTATCGTTCCAGAACCCCGTGTACCAGATGGCGGCAGGCCTGCCCGTTTCCCCCCGCGGGGTTGGCGACTCGGGCTCCGAGTGTCACAGCTCCATCAGTTCCCAGAGCAACAACGAGGACGGCGTGGCCAACAAGGTGGGCTTCTTGAACCAGGCCAACAGCGAGGACTTTGCGCGGCGCTCGGGGGAGTTCACAAGGAGGCAGCTCTCCTTGACGGAGAGTCAGCACCAACCCACCGTTCCCCGGCAGAACAGCGCTGGCCCCCAGCGCCGGATAGACCAACCGCCCCCTCCAGTCACCAGGGGGCGCACCCCTCCCAACCTCTTAAACACGGCACCCTACCCCAGGCCCTCCAGCGGCAGTATGATGTCATCCTCTCCTGACTGGCCCGGCAGTGGTGCGAGATTAAGGCAGCAGTCATCTTCCTCCAAAGGAGACAGTCCAGAGACAAAGCAGCGCGCCATGCACAAGCAGGTGAGCTTGACCGGTCTGACCAGAATAATAAAAATTGAAATTGTGTTTCTTTTAAATCCCTTAAAAGTTTTTAAAAAAAATTTCTAAGTCAGTGTTTATTAATACAGGTTAATACCTGGATACTCTACCTATCTTCTAAGAAAGTCAGTAGGGAAAACGTCCTTGGAACGGATTCATTTAGTGTTGAGAGACGTGGACAAGCCTATTTTTACTATGGAACATATAATCACAGTTGTCTTTTACATTCAAACACTAAAAGCTTTACAACAAATAGGAAAAGTCCAGCCTCAGAGCTGCACACCAACAGGACACCACAGGATATTAGGTAGAGGATGAAGCATGTTCTTCTGCTCAGATTGGGAGGCTGGGAATGAAGTGCACAAACACAATTAATTTTCTGCATCATTGTTCCTTCCAGAGTAGTGATTAAATGCCCAAACTCATTGTTTACACTATTTTGCTGAACTCTTCTTGAATGAATCTTCATTAAATGCCCGTCAAGTATAACCCATCTCAGCAGATAGCAGTCCTGCCTCCTGGAAAAGAGCAGAACAGCTCTCTTTTGATCTGTATGGCAGAAGAAACTCAATATTCCAAGAATATTCCTCCTCATTCACATTTCCTTCTTTCATTTTGTTTTTACTTGTTGATACCAACATTTGAGAATTTAAGAGCTGCATGTGCACACTGAATTGATTGTGCTATTCTTACACTTACCACTTTAAGGTTATGAGTAAGTTATGCATATTATGTAAAATGCAGAATTCAGAACTCAAACGTTGAATAGCAGTTCATGCAATTCATTGCTAGTGCCAGAGTCCTGCCCTGCCTTTGCAGAAGTTCTCATAAACAGTGTCAATATTATAAATCCCCCTACACAGAGTCCTGCCACCCAAGGTATAGAGATATGTTATGTAATAAGAACTGAGTCAGATCCTTGAAATAGCTATACTAAAAGGAACTGAGCCCACATTATTTCATTCTGTGACATGTTGCAGATGTGAATGATTTGGTCACTAACTGTGTAGTATGCCAGGCATTTGTGGGTCATCCAACTGAGTCAGTCAATCAGTTATTGATGAGAGAGGGGTAGGGTCATAATGAGTGCTCCAATCTTTAAAGCTTTCCATGTTTTATTGATAGAGTCCTACACCATTAATAGCAGAGATCTGTCAGCAGCCCTGCTTGAGTCTTTGTAATTATATGGATCAGTCATTACTATCAATCTGTGTTTTCTGGTGAAGGTCACTAGAAGAGCTCCTTTACAATCAGAGTGATTTGTCTTTCATACAGGATTGATTAATAGAACCCCAGCCCCAGTGTGTGGTAGCACTTGGTGCACACACACACATAGCACAGACTCAGTCATCCTAAAAACACAAAATTAGTAGAGCCACGTGCATTTTCAGAAGTAAATGTAAAATCAGAAGCAAGTGTTTTAAATGTTGTATTAAAGATTGTATTATTATTATTATTGTTTTTATCATTATTATTAGGCTTTAGTCTTTAATTAAGAGTCTCTGGATTCGTGTCTCCTTTATCTTGTCTACAGTTCCATCAGACTGACTGTACAGTATCTATTTTGAAATTTGAAATGTCATTTTTCAGTTCTTATGCTTGTCAATCAGGTATATTGCATTTTATTTTATATATAATACTGGTATAATGGTGTTCTTCTCAAACTAAAAAAATGATGCAATAACTTCTTAATTTTTTGCCTGCAAAACCACAATAGACCTCAGTTCCCCCTTTGAACTTTTCGTCCCGGAATGATGTTTAACTTAGGGGGTAATAATAAGTCCCTCATTCCATCAGAGCGTATTTTTCTCTTCGGTTTACAGCACGTATAAAAAAGGCACAGCATTTATCAAACTGAAAGTAGTACCAGAAATAATGATATTAAACCTCTAAATTAAGATTATAAATCACAACGAATTACACTTGAGAACATCTGTACACAGTAATGTGGCCTGGCACAGCTTTATTTAGGAAGCCCGACTTTATTAGTTGCATTAAATTTGACACAGTCATAATTTCTAATTGTTGAAAAATGTTTTCATCCCCATTGTGCTGCCATTCACATGTTCACAAATTGTATTCCGGGTCCCCAGCTGATTTTAGAAACCCATGCTTGTCGTGGTTCGGCAAATCATTCTCCTAACTGTATTGTTTTGCTGAAAAGCAGGATGATAATTTGATTAACAGATGAAGGAAACTCTCATGAAAAGCACATTTGATTTGGAAAGCAGCGTGCAAATGATTCCGTTTATTGTAGATGTCTTTTTTAATACAAAAAGATCACCCCCTTTTTCCTCAGAAGCAGCATACGGAGTCTCACTAAAATGCTATTTCTATTCTGTTAATTTACAAACAATTATTAGCTCTTACAAAGCAAACAAAGAACTTTCCTTTTTGACTCTCTTACCACATTAAAATTTTATCTGATCCCGAAACCGAGTGATTTTTTTTTTCTCGGTAAGCTATGGTAAAACACACTCGACTATCACTATCACTGAAGTCATAGCATTCCGTGTTCCTGTTTCCACACCCTCACAGCTCTAACGCAGACAGCATTACCATTGCAGCTTTGATTTTGTTTTATTTTTTGGGGTTTTTGCTTTGCTGATTTTTTTTTTCCCCCGACCTCATGTGTTTGTTGTGTTGATCTCACTAGGCCCCCTCCCCTGTGAACCCCAATGCGTTGGACCGCACTGCAGCCTGGCTTTTGAATATGAATGTGCAGTATATAGAACACGAAGGAATTGACCCAGATTCCAAACACAGGGAGGAGCTCAGAAACAAAGAGGAACTCACTCAGACTGAAAAGGTAATGGCACAGAACCCCCAAACATGCACCTGCCTCAGGGAGCACAAGTCAAGCACTGAGCAGAATATTATACTGTCTGACCAAAAATAATCGGGCGCATTAAGCAAGGGAATTGTATGATACTTTAGATAGACGGATTAATAATAAACCGTGTGTTTTAATAAACAAAACATGTTATACAGTCAACTCTTTAGTCATTTACCTGCAATGAAGTGGTTACAAGTGTATTATTAATGGTGTGATGAATCAGTGGAATAGCTTTTCTTGTGGTTTAAAATATGTTTCATTTGGTTTATACGGGACAGGAATGAAATTATCCCTCTAGGTGATAGTAAGTTATACTGTAAGTGTATTCTGTTAATTGATTTGGTAGTCGTTCTCTTATTCAATCATGCTTGAACTTGCATCAGAACTGTTCCAAATTATCCTTGAAACTAGATATTGAACACATTCAGGCCTTAAACCTACCAGCGGTTATTTGCCATTTTAAGGCTACACTATTTTTGATAAAAAAATAAAATAGCTTTATATCACAGCGACCCTATGAAATGGTTTCAAAGGCTGCCTGCTTAAATTCAGTATGCATGTTTAATAGCATATGGATCTTTTTTTTAGTGTGAACTGCAGGGAGAAAAGCTTGATACTTGTTAAAGTGATACAAAATACAGCTTTTGCAATTTAAACCAACTAAACCAAATCTAATAACATCTGTGGGGTGACAGACTGTTACATTGGTCACCATCATCTATCCATGTACAATGTATACAAATATACTGTATATGTTACAAATATGCTATGAAGGGATCCTCCTGTGAGACTGGAATGGTACTGTATATCTACGGATAGTACTGATCTGCAATAGGTAAGTGTGGAATACAGGTGACAATACAGTCGTGCACTAAACTATTTCTTATTGTTATTCTATTGTTCTATGTATTTGGAAAATCCTATTTAAGTTGTATATCATATTTATTTAAGCATCACACCTGGACAAAACAAAATGCCCCATCTACATCTTGCTTGGAAAATGAAGAAGGTTGACACTTTGTGATTCAGAAATGTAACATTTGCTTATGCACTGATTTGATGTGGCAGCCTGCTAGTCCTTTCCTTAGCATACCAGGTGTGTTCATTAGGCTGATAATTCCCTTATTTTTTCCTGTTTATTTTAGGGTATTCCTCAGAGACACGGGCCTCTCTTGGTGTCTAATTTGCTGTGTCGGTTTTGCAAAATTCAATTAGTTCTGCTGGCGCACATGTTTGTGGTATAATCTGTTGTTGGGTTTTTTTTTCCCCAATGTTTGTGAATTTACACTGCCCGCTGTATTGAAGAGGCAGACCTCTGCCAGTGTAGGTGACCCGATTGTGTCAAAGTGGGGGGAACCCCACCACCACATCCCTGGCTCATCCAGACACACGCGATGCATCATGCGTTCGGCATGTCTTCGCCGACCCCCTTCGTGTTTTCAGTGAAAACGTCACTGGGAATTACACAGGCTCCAGCTGAACGTTTCTTCTGTACTGTAGTCCTCCTGCAGTTGGGTCTCCACCCCTTATGGTTTTTGTCGCTGAATCCTCAAAACCAAAACAAAATTGTCAAAGCCCTTCTCAAGCAAACCAAACACTTAAGTACGGTCAAGGAGAAATGAAGGGCGTGCACACGAGAAAAAAGCAAAAAAAAAACGCATCTGGACTTCTTTGCCTCCACCTATCAGCAGTGCAAGGAACCGGGCAGCGACACGCTTCAAAAACAGTTCCAGTTTGCCGCTCAGCAACACGTGCGCGCTGATTATTAAAGTAAAAGAGACAGCAGATTAAAAGTACATGGTCAGCAAGCCAATTCTTCAGCTCGACTTGTCGCAAAACTGTGTTACATCATGGGAAATCTGCAACAATGCGCAGATGGCAACATGGTGAAAGCCAGGCCTTTTGCTTTCCAGCCATAGCAATTGTTCCGTCAATCCATTCCCACTCTCTGATGTGGTGATGACAGCCTACGGTGGATTGAACAGATGTCCTGCGCAATATCCCTGCGATACCATGCGAAACAATTGCTTTAAATAAAACCAGATGTGGTATTTATGTTAAAGCAGAACCGTTCTAAAGACGCTTCTCTCCCGTTACGGTCGGCATCGAGTTGATTGCATTTTGCAGTCAACTGAATGCAGCACACGGTTCTGCAGCGGTTCTGTTGGCAGCGTATGGATTACTGAGCATCAGATGTGAAATAAATATCGAACGGAGAGGCTTTCTAAACTCAGTGCTATAAACATGATGCTGAATTATCCCATTGACTTGTTTTACAGGGAGAATGTAAATGTTCTTTCTAATTACCCATTACAGTGCATTTTGCCTTCAGCATTTCCTCTAGGTAGGAACTGAGCACACCCACCTTATCCTGTGCCACACACATGCCTGACATACACTATATAATGTATAGAACTCTGTTTCAAAGATTTTAATTTATAAATACATGTGGTGGCAAACACTGCTTTGAAACAAATTGTATCTCCTATCTGAAAAGTCTCCTTTGAGGCTGAAATTGTAAGAATATGTTCAAGGCATTGTAATTGCCTTTGTTGATATAATACAATCCCTAACGTTTGAAATAGATTTTGTCATCTGGAAACATCTTAATCTGCATTACTGGGTAATCATCTGCCACCAAATTGTAATAAAGAGTGTTTTATGTCTTCGTTATACAGATTCCATTTTATTTTTAATTATTGTAAGTGTTTTGTAACAGTATCTGATGCGAAGTAATGTTCTGTTGTCCTGTGGGTGCAAAGGAGAACCTTGTAATCAGCAGGAAATCTCTCACTTAAGTGAAGAGAAAGACGTCTGGGTGTATCTGAAAGATTGGAAATATTTTACATTATAGCACATTCATTTTTGATTCACAGAGTATTCATTGTATACTGTAGGTCTGTATCTGTTCACATGTCCATAACTAGAATTCCAAATTTAATTTGTGTAGGAGGGAGGTCTAAAAGTTCAGATATCACCTTTTATTTAATGTTACCGAATCAAATCTATTGTATTATGGCCTGTTTAATTGCCTGGTTCGGCAGGGAATTAAAATTAGTGCCTAGAAATTAGTGCTCTATCGAGAATAGTTTTTTATCATATTTTCTTAGCTTCAGTAAATCAAAATCCCTTACAGCTACAGTTCTTATTGTGACAGAAATAAGCCCATTTTCGATTCTATTACTTAAAATATGGTACTCGTGCTTCGTGTTTTTGTATATCCATAAGTACAGTACTTTATCTTCCTGCCAAATAATCAGAAGACCCTTAATTTTAGTGTGGTTTGATAGAGCTGTTTGTCTAGCACTGAAAAGCAGCATTTTCTCCACAACATTTTAACACTGGTACATTTTTTTATCTTAATATTAACAGTTATTAATTTTGTTTTCCACAAGCCAGAACAATTTGAGAAACTATGGAAAATGCAGCTGACCTCTATAACTGGAACATATTAAAAAAATACAGCAATGTAAATCTTGCTCCTTTCATACTGTGCCAGTGATTCTAACCCCTGGAATAAATATTAACATTCAAATGTTGGTTTGCTAAGGTCTAAAAGCTAAAGTCTTTCAGTTCAGAAAACAAATCTTCAGCACTGCAGAGATACTCTCTGAATTTATTTTTGCAGCGACTAAGTCCCAAAAACAAAACCAGCTTCGCTGAGGCACAGAAGATTGCACTCAGCTGCAGATGCAATTATTTCAAAGGTTCAAAGTCGCTTTCACTTTGAGAAATTTCCTCCGGAGCACAACATAACTTTTATTGACGCTATAAATTGCTGTCTTTTATGCTGTAACTTTTATGTATAATGGTCTCTGGACCAACATTTTCTTTAAGCTTTTAAGATAAATTTAATTTGGCCTGTTGATGTATTACTGACTGTGCTCTTGTCCAGCTGGTCACTGTGCTGAGTGAGGCACAATAGCATCATTTTAGCAGTAATATTTCTTTTCCTTGCTCTTATTGTGTTGTCTGGTTGCTAAGACACTTCAGGGAATTAGGAAGACCAGACTGGCTTCAAGGCCTCCAGTATGTCAGAATATTTCATCCTTTCCCTTTGGTCTTCAGCCCTGGAGTGAGCCAATTTCAGGAATTATTTTTCCACCCCCCCGGACTTCCTTTCTGTGTTCTGCACCGATATTGTAAATACCAGATGACTTCCAGTGCTCCCAGCTAAGTTCCCTTCTCATTTTGTCTGATGTAGTTGATTGAAAAATACCGTCACGCTGCTTTGCCTACAGTATAAATGTTCTCCTACATTACAGGATGCTTTTTCCCCAATTATTTTTCTCTCAAAACTAAAACAGGCAGGTGTGGTTCATTTGCTGTGATTTACTCTGCTTTTCTTCTCCACTAATTAATTTCTTTAGGAAGAAATTAATTCCCTGGACAAACAAAAGTGAAAGTATGGAAATACTGTATTAGGTCTGAGCACATACTGGAGAGTATCTTACCAATGGGAAGAAAATATTTTGTTGTGTTTCTTTTAATTGTCCCATTAAGATGTGTTTCATTATGGTACATTTGCTTACTAGTTGTACCACATTTAACATTCCAAAACAAAAAAAAAAAAACTATTTTAAATAGTATTTTTACCAGGACGTTAGGTGACTGCCAGGGTTTAAATAAAATTTCACCTGCACTACTGAATTAACTGTATTCAAGGCATTTATTGAAACATAAGGGGACATTATGAAGGACATTTTGTTCATCTGAAAAATGTTTTCAGCTACACATTTTATTCAACAGGTATACTCTGTTACACTCTAATGCCTTCACTTTTTTCTTCAGGGATTTACTTTCATACTGAATTTCTCTGAGCCAGCAAAAAAAGTACTTAAAATCCATGATGTGGGCTACAGCAGCTTTGCTCAGCTTAACAGCATGGTGAGACTTGGATTTGGAAGTGTGGAGCTCTACAAATCACTCTTTTACATGCTTCCCTTCATGAAAAAGCTACAGGTTCAATGCTGTCATTGTCAAGAGCCGATTTCTTGTATCCAGATATGGAGGTTAATGGTAGGTTGGTGAAAGCTTTTGCAGAATGAAGCACTTGATGAACCTGGACACTGTGAGTGGAAGTTGTTAAATGCATAGAGTCGACGTGCATGAAACCGCCTTAGGACAAAGACGGAAGAGAATAAAATAAAACAGTGTGTACATAAAAAAAAGTGCACTCCGTGTTTTTTTGGGGACACTTACAATGGTTCCATTAATTATAATTTCTTCTTCGCTGGTTGCTGTTCTTGTTTCCTGCAGTACCAGCAGGAGATTGCCATCCTGCAGGACAAGCTGCGGCTCTCGGCCAAGAAGCTGGAGGACTACGAGTCCCGCCTGAAGGGGCAGGAGGACCAGGCGCAGAAGATGCTGCTGGAGTACCAGGCTCGCCTGGAGGAAAGCGAGGAGCGGTTGCGGCGACAGCAGGAGGACAAGGAGCTGCAGATGAAGGGCATCATCAGCAGGTACGGAGGGAAGGCTGTCTAAATGGGCAGACAACCCAGCGCAGGATTTCCCCCGAAATATCCTACAACATTTTTATGCCCTACAAAGAAGAGAAAGACGAGCTGAAGCAACATGCTTGCGATAAGACTCTAGGTGCTCCAAATCGATAATCGTCCGCTGTCTGGCGGCTGTTCGAGAAACTAGAAGTATCGAAGAGATGGTCGCTCAATTCGCTCCATCAATATAATTGTTTTTTAATTGCCGTTTCCCCCCCCTTTTTGCACATTTCCGTGTGAAAGTGCCCTCAGGCCTACGAACCAAAATCCAGCCCTGAAACAACGAAGGAAGTGGGCGCCGTGGGAACCAATAGACTGGAACAGAACAGTAGTGGCCAGAAGATGAGATCTAGAGGCAAAGTACAGGAACAGGCCAAATTCAGAATCTAGGAAAATAATCCTATAATAATCCTAAAATAATAAGGGACAACAAGACAAAAAGCAGGGAAAACAGAAACACAGAGGAACCAGGAGAAAATAATGTAAACTAGGAGAACAAGAATCGGACAATGGGCTGAGGCAGAACAACAGGAAGGAACGAGGCAGGATACAGGGTATAAGAATCAGGAATCAGGGAAAGGGGGAATGGAGTCAGAGGTACACTGACCAGTTCTTGATTGGTTACAGCCGTGTGCGTGGTCTGCGCCTCTGCTGTGCAGCGAGGCCAGCGGCCAGTGCTTGAGGCGCCCTCTAACTGCCAGAATGTGGAATCTTAGCACGGGGGACATGTAGGCGCCTCTCCAATGGGAGGGCAATGGATGTTTGCCCGTTATGCCTTCTGACATGTAGGGGCAACAACATCCTGTTGCCGTTACCGTAACATTAGTTTTTTTACGGAACAGAGTTGTTAGCCTTGTGCCCAACATCCAACATGGAGGACCTGGCGCCCCATGTGGGACCCGGACCCACTACCCTGAGATTATGAGTCTCATGCTCTACCAACAGAACTAGTTGGGGCCCTTATGGAAGGGCAAGAGCACCCAAAAAGCCTGAAGGCGACAACATTTTCAGGAGAGGAGAAGATGAAACCTTTAGGCCAGATTGAGATGCCCCAGTGATTTTCCTTGCGACCAGTGCAGCTGCAGTCCTGCTGGTGGAAGCTGAGATAGTTTTCCAGCTCATGCCTCTTTCCCATACATGGCTTGCAATTTTAGTTGGCCTGGCATCACAGTTTTGGAGTCCTTGATCCCAAATTTCTTAAAGAAATATAATTTAATCTCTCTTACTCAGCATCCCATTTTCTTCTCTTGTCAGACGTTTCCGTCTGGCACGTGATATGATTTGATGAGCCTGTGAATTTCTGTATTTTTATCAAAAGGTTAGTGTGCCGATCTGTATCAGTGTGCAGTCTGCAAAGGAAAATGCAGAGATTTTCAGCAAGGAATTAATAGAAATGCAGCAACTTAAAATGTTTTTGGCTGTGGAGGCGTCTTCTGGTGTGCACGGGAAAGAGGGAGAGAGCAGGAAATAAGAGAAAGAGGTGGGAGGTAGCAAAGGAAAGAATAGGTGAGAGTGAGTAGGAGGTGGCAACATTTTTGTCATTTCCTAAAATGTTGCCAAGAAGCATTACATTTTAAAGGTCGTACAATATGGTGGAAAGTATTCCATTATTCTAACATCACTCAGTACCGAGCAGGGCATGGTCAGAATAATTATCCAGAATGTGAGTAGTAAGGGTACCGGAATATTATGTGAAATTGCAGTGGCTAGAAAGGACACTAATGGTGGAGCTGTATATCTGTGCTGTTTTGCACGGTATGTATTAAAGCCAGATGCAAAGAGTGTGTGTCATGCATCATGAATTTAGGAATTAAAACAATGTAGACTCAAACAAAATACAGGCTCATGTATAGTATTTACAAAGTTGAGTATCTCTTGAAAAATCCATTGTAAAGTCAAGAACTGCCATATTATTTTTAAGCAATGATAAAATCGAAGTTCTGAACTAAAATTTGCTAGGGATAAGGACAAGCCAATCTCACCCAGCTGATTAAATCACCGTCATTACCTGCCTTTGCTATATATACATTATATCTCTTGCTCATGCCTCTTCCCGCATTTTTGTTGCATTCATTCTACATGACGATCATACTCCAAACTATCAAGAGGGAAAGAAAGAGAAATGTTCTGCAGCTCGCATTTGTTTTATGTGTGCGTTATGTTCCATACTACAAAAAAACAGAAAGAACTGTATTCTATCCATCTCTTTTTTTGCCATGTGCGTAATTGAACACCATGCTCCTTAAGATTGAATAACACAAATGTGTTAAAACAACCAAAAAGATATAAGGAAAAGAAAAAATCTACTCCTACTTGTTAAACTGAACTAAACTGAAAAAAAAAAACAACTGCCATGCAGCTAGCTGCCGTTTATCAAAAGGACCCCTGGGGTGCCCCTACCGCCCCCCCCCAGAGCCTTCCATTCTACCTCATTCCCCTGTGTGTTTCTCTTAACAATCCCTTTTCACAGTCTGGCTCTGTTTTTCCTGTTGTCTACTATCACTGCTGTTCCTGCTCCCTCTTGTTTTCCTCATCCTCCCATTTATGAATTGAAGCTCTTTCACCTGCGCACTCTTCTGCTTCTGTCCCTGGCTATCCACTGGAGCTCAATCACAAGTGTTTGGCACCGTCTTTGGTGCCTCTGAGCCCGGATTCCTCCCTCTCTGGCGTCTTACTTCTGCCTTAGTCAGATGGCATCCTACAGTGTCAGCCTTTCCTATTGCTCCCAGGTGTCCAACACAGCCCTTATAATACTTAGTAAAAATTCACAAAGTGATGGTTCTTGTATGCCGTTATTCCTAGTGAAATGGAAGTTTGGGACATAGTCAGACAATTCACCCACCTGCTTTAAATGACAATCATTAGCGACTTTTGCTATATATATATATCTTGCACACACCTCTTCTCGATTTTTTTTTCCATTCACTCTATCTAATACACCATCTCCACCTCCGCAGCTACCCCTCAGTTAACGTCTCTCTCTGAATGCGGTTCTGAACCTACCCTGGCCCAGGCCAGCTACGTACCCCTTAACCAAGCACATTAAGCCAAAACCAATTCGACTTAAATGTTCAATAAACATTCGCAAAGCATGTGATTCATGGATGTCCTTATTCTTCGTGAAATGACCTTTTTCCTGATAGCAGGCAGTTTTCCACAGAGCGAGAACAATGTTATCAGATGTTTCTATTGTGCTGTTCCCACATTGCTATAATGTCTTTCAAGGTCTGTTTTGGTCATCTTGACATCTGCCGCCCTCCCCTGAATGTACCTTCTAAAGGCATCTTTAAAGTCCTGTACAGTGGATTAAGTACAAAATAAAGCCGTGCTTGGCATTTCAAACACAGCAAATCAGGCCATCACACAGCACAGGACAGGCTGACCACAGAGGCACTCCTCTTGTTTCCTTTCACAGCTGAGAGGAAAGTAAGGCGACTGCAGATCTAGAGTGATCTGCACAAATTCCAACCCAGTAGGAATCAGGGCTACTAAACTCACACCAGAGGAGGAAAAACCTCATTAACCTGAATATGGGAGATGAAAACTGAGATAGCATTGTGTGAGCACTGACAAAATATTAAGTGGAACAGTTTAACATAATACAGCAGGACCACAAGATTTCAAGTTTGTCTCTGAAAAATAAAACCTGAAATGAAATTCATTTTGAAATAACATACATCTTTGACCAAGGATAGATTGTTATACTTTATTATATTTAAATCAGTATTTATGTGTCAGTTAGAACACTACTTTTTGTTTGCTTCTTCCACAAAACATTAAAAAAAGGAATTTTGAATGTTAAAAAAACATTTAATATTTGTAAACCTTCTTTTCAGGCTTATGTCTGTGGAGGAGGAGTTGAAGAAAGACCACTCTGAAATGCAGGCCGTAGTGGATTCGAAACAGAAGATCATTGATGCCCAGGTAAGTGTTGTGTGTCTCATGAGATTTCAGAGGTGTATATAATTTTATTGAGTAGAGAACGAGTCTTTAATGAGTAAAATTCCCCTTCCCACAGTTGAACTACTTAGAACCCAGTGAAATAGTACCCTCTGGTGGGAGACATAGTAAATACCTGTAAGGGTTAAAAATATCTTTTAACTTTAAGGGGCATTTGTAATTATTTTTACTGAAATGGAATATTTCTGAAGATTATCAGTTTTCCTGATCTTTACCTACCCTTCCTTCACCTATTTGAGTATTCAGGTGGCTTCTACATCAGTCTCCTGAGTTCTGAGAATAAAATGTACTACCGAAACATGTCCTGAATGTGTTAACAAAAATTTTTTTGAAAGACTGACAGAAAGTGTTTTAAAATATTGAGTGATGTGTAAACCTTGAGGGATAATATCAGGCTTTAGACTTTGAACCTTTTACAATGGGGACTCTAATGCTAAGCTTTACCATCTTACATTTAAAATTATTTGGTGATTACACATGCTTAGAATACATACAAAGTTTTTAATTTCAGTGGAGAGCAAAAAAATGTTTACTGCTTTTCTCATGCGCAACTAATTCAGGTTTAGGTAAATGTAGCTTTAAGGTAATATTATGCAAGATTAAATTGCACATGTGAACATCCAGTATTCAAGATTTCACTGAGTGCAGATGCAATTAATTAGTCTTTGTGTGTCGTTAAAAGTTAATGCAGACTTATTGCAGAAGAACCTGTTTGTTGACGCAGTTAAAGGCTATTGCTGCACAAAGCTGTGAAAGTTTGCCATGCTAACATTTCTTGACAAACAGACTTACAGAGTAATACTTCTTGAGTTGAGTCATAACCTAGAGGCAGTGTTGCATATCCCAGATTAACTACAGAATGGAAAAAGAGGAAAACAAAGCCTTGATTAAAATACTCATCATGCCTACTGATCTGCTGTAAGACAGGTGTCTTCATTCTATGAACATGTGGATATGCAGATGTGGGGATAGGTTTTTACTGCTGCAATGACTTGGCTTTCTCACAGATTTGATTTCCCGAACTCTTACGTTAGACAATCTTCCAATTCAAATATTAATACGAGCCTAATAAACACCCCATCTGTGTTTCTCACTTGACCTGCAGGAAAAGCGTATTGCCTCCCTGGATGCAGCCAACGCAAGGTTAATGAGCGCACTTACACAGCTGAAGGAACGCTACAGCATGCAGACCCGCAACGGAATCTCGCCCACCAACCCGACCAAGCTGCAGATCACTGAAAACGGGGAGTTTCGGAACAGCAGCAACTGCTAATGAAGGCAGACCGAGCGAGCTGCTAATCTACCAATCGTGCAGGGTGGAAGAGGGTTGGGGGGGGCGGGAGAACGGGAATTCCCCGGACATCGCAGGAAACAATAACAAAAAAAAGATCCAATTCCATTCCAAGACCAACCTTGAACAACACAACATTACATGCACAAACACATACATGGAGATATGTATCTGGCGCCGTAAGGAGCAGAGCAAAATGTTGTGGTCGTAATCTGAAAACATTCTGAAGTTCCATTATTTTCAATGGAAGTGCTCATTTTAATACTGCAGCCAAGGACTAACTGTAGTTAGCTGTAGCTCAGTCCTACTGCTTCTAAATGAGGAGCAAAACACTAACACAATACATGGCAAAACCCTGTGGACAAAAAGATGATCCTGCTCAATCCCAATTTCGAGTTTTGTACTTGGACCTGCGTACAATGAAATGCTTACTTGCGTGTTTTTTTCTCACATGAAAAATGACAAACAGATGACATAAAAGTTGACAAATGACATCAGCTGTAGATAAACCTATTCCTGTGTATGAGATTTTTCTCCTTAAGGAAGTCCGGCTTGCTGCATTATGTTGATACCTTATAAGGCTTGTGAATAATCATTGCATAACTGATGTTTACCAGTGAAAGTACAGCCTTTACAGTCTTTATTTCTTTCCCCCCTACAAATCAGGAGTAGGGTTGTGCAAGTCTCATTAAAAAATAACAGCCTGTAAAAAGCCATTTCTTTTTTTTGAGCCACAGTTTCTGGTGATGAAGCGTTGTGATCTTGGCAGCTGAGGGGTGAGGAGTGGGAATGAAAAGACTATAAAAGTTTGCAGGATTTTCAAACTTCAGAATCGCGAGGCGAATGTCTGAAAGGAAAAGCTGCTAGTTGTTTCATTTTAAGGCTGCCAAGCCTATGGCATTTTCAGTTGACTGAAAAATAAAAACGTCACTATGTTAAGGCTAGGCTTGTCACTCTTGTATTTCACGCCATTAACCTGATCAAAATAAGACTTCAGTCCATCTCATTTAGAAAAAGAAAAAAAAGACAGGCTCCTTTTTGCTTTTTGACCAAATGTGATGCTTTCAGAGTTTAAAGACTGACACATTATCCTCATTAAGGACATTTTGCTCAGAGCATGTCATTTCAAAGGCTTTGCATGCATGATAATATCCTTTATGACATTATATCCACTGTGAGATGTGTTTTGGTCATTTTCTACCTGAGTGCAACCATCTGACGTTACGAACACTGATGTACTGTACATCACAAGACTCACAACTGGCAGGGGAAACGAGAAAGGAATGATCAGCTGTCACTGATGTGCCGAAGACAGACAGGGTCGGTTTCAAATTAATGTCTTTCATTTATAAGCTAGTTTGCTCATTTGGTTTTTTTAATCAAACTAAAACTCTGAGCAGCTTTCTGACAAGACATCTGCTCTCACAGGTTAATTTTTCCTGTGTAGCCAAATATTCAGCAACAATGTTCACAAAGTGGGGAAACACAAACGACAGTACAAGCATCCCTGTCTTCCTGTGCAGAGTTATGATTCTTTTCTCATGCAACAGTAATGATTGCTTTAATTATATTGTTCCTTTTAAGAAAAAAAACATCTACTCTATTATAACACATTTTCAAAGCTTTTTGCTCCAGGTCACAATTTGCTCCCAAATTACTGAATATATTTAAGAGCTTAAAGATTAGCATTTTGCAAGAAATATCATAGGAGTATTTAATAAAGCATTTGGTTGTAATTTAGATTAAATCATTGCCTTGGATTTTTGGATGCTATCTGAGAAAGCAGAGGACATTTTACATTGAGGCAGAAATGCATAACATTTCTACATTGTATGAAGAAATGGATCTCTACATTTACAAATTAACTGAAATCGGCACATAGACTATTTGCACTTATTTAAAAAACAGATCCTTTCCACAACCTCTCAATTCTGTGGTATTAACACATAGATGTTATTCTTTGGCATAAAACATGTTTTCTACTGAATGTTAAGATGCTAGTCAAAAAAGTAAAATAACTTTTTTGGCATTTTACAGTAATTTGACTTCATCCCCATTATACCAACACCAAACATTTCAGCGTTCTATATTTTGTATATTTTTGTATTTTTTTCTTATCTGTAAAATATTTTTTTTCTGCATGTCTCATACCCAGTGCTACAGTGTGTAGCGCGATGGTTATAGTTTAATTTTATTTGCCAGTGGTAAGGAAGAAGCAACTTCCACTATATAATTTGCTGCATACTTTGTATGTGCTTAAATATAAGAAAATGAGTGTATTTAGAGGCAAGGTACCTCAGTAATGTAAATAAAATGTTCACAATATTTTTACCTAATGTGATAAAAAGAACTTTCTTTTGTAAATGTTCCCTGTGTTTAATTCTACTGTACTGATATCACAGATGTATTGTAAATAGTTCCAACAGTTATTCCTGGTGCTGCTTCTTTAGACAGTTTCAGCTTCATTTTATTGTTGTTCTAGTCTCTTTTCATATACAGGTATGCTTTTTTTAAAAGCAAAACACTGATCTAATAAGGGCGGAAAATGTGAGCACCATTCATCTTTTATGCTTTTCTTCATGCTGTAGTCAAGGCGCCCTCTCATCAGTTGAGTTACCAGGGCCTTATTTTTTTAAAGAGATGGAAGCACAAAATTTCCCTGACATTTTTTCACCTGCTGTTTCAAAAAGCAGAAAGCCACTATGCATTTTCAGCATCTACACTTGATGCCCTGGCAGTCTTGGGCTCTGCTTCTTATTCTCCAGAACAGCAGGACGTTTCTGTGGTGCAGTTACTTTTTTTCCTTAGTGGAAATTCTATTTACCCATCAACTTGAGACCCCAGTAGACGTCCCATTCTGTAAGTGTAATAAAACACTTATTACCACAAGCATAGGCTAAAAGGGCTGCTCAAGATCAGTTTATTTTCCACAACTCACGCAATTCTTAGCAATTTCTCATAAATGCAGAGATCTGTTTTGGGTTCTGATATTAACTAGTGTCACCATTAACACTAGTTAACACTAGTTATATTCTGTTATTCATTAACAGAATATAAATCCCAGTAATCATTTGAAGATTTCGGTGTTTTGCTTTGAAGAAAGCATACTACATCCTAGTGATAAGTGACTCAGACCACTTCTATAGGCAGAAATCACTGTGTTAAATTCTGTGGTTCTGTCCTCTTGCTGTCTGTACAAACGTTCTGGTCTTACAGATGAAAATATTTGTAACTTACTAGACAAGCTTTCACCCAGAAGACTCAGGAGGGGGTATATCTAACTCTTATTAAGACACAGTGTGATTAGCAAGTAGGTTTAACCCACATCATCACGGACAGTGCTATTGTGGTAAGCTTACTTTCCAATCACCCTGAGTATACAGTCTACTGTAGGTCCTGTTAATGATTTTGGAGACAGAGGGAAGAATGAAATGCGTATATATTAAATAAACACTGAATACTTTAAAATTAATTTATTATTTGTGCAGGTGATCTCATGTATCTTGTTTCCCTTAATAATAATGTCACGTGCAAATGAATAATCAATAGAGTATAACTGGATTGCATGTGCTAATGTTGTACCAAAAAGTGACATTTTACAGTACTGAACAAAAATGCCCCTTTGTTCAAATTTCTAAAAGTGGTCTTCAAGCAAGAGATCTGCTCCTTCTTGTCTTTTTTAATGGAACATTTTTTAAAGTGTTTACTCTCTCTAACCCTTTTTAGAGTTACTGTAAATTAAATCCATTGTAATTTCTATTTTGATTCAGTGATGTAAATTTACAGTGTTCATTACCCAAGGTGAAAGCTCATAGAAAGTTTCCATTCTGGTTAGGTGCCATTATAGGTGAAAAGGAAACCTCTCTAATAAGTAATGAGGAAAGAGACTGAACATACACATCACTGTGTATGGAGATATACTCTCTCTCTGACTTCTGTTGTTGCAAATAACTGGTTTCTAAAAAGCTGTTGTATGTTTTATAATATCTTCTAGAAACACTTTTGTAAGTATGTTAAAAGTAAAGTATTCGCTGGACCTGCTTCAGTTTACAACAAAAAAATGTAATAATGTACAGAGAAAGTTGTTTGTGTTTAAAAAATGTGGCTGTGCAATTTATGTACATTTGCAACTAGAATTATTAAAGTTTTATTTAGCTATTTTAAGTTTCTGCCTTGTGTCTTTTGTTATGGTTAAGTTACTGCTGTACCAGTCTGAATAAGAGAGAAAGGCTACAGATGAAAATATGCCATTAAACCTACAGTACCTTGTTTAGTTGCTAGCACTCTGCCTTAGCTTTCACTTGTGTTTATCTGTTGAGCTGTTGTTTTCACTGCTGATTCTCAAAACATCTGTTGGATGGAGTTTGTCAATACCTTGAGAATTTTGAATACTTAAATCCAGTGAGAATAGACTTACTGTAATACTAATGCTTAATCAACCAATACTTAATCAAGAACAGAAAAATACTATTGACCATAGGACATTCCTTCAATCCTGCAGCAAGTTCAATCTGTTTCTAACTGTACATAGTATTCTAAATGTAGTTTTAATAATGCACTCTTAAATTTTACTTATTTTGATTTTAGGCCTTTGACTATGCATCCTAACGTTTGGCTACTCTTATTTGATACTTCAAAATGTAACGTTAAGTATGGAGGATGTAAAATTGATATCGGCATAACCATTAGTACTGTCTTTTCAACAGGTAGCTTAAATTCTTGTTTTCCATCATATATTGCTATGGTAAAATTAAACTTTGCAACCAATATTTCATGCATTTCCAACATCTTAATGTCTGAATTGAATTGTGCAGCCCTCCGTGTGTGGTGAGAATGTGTGACATGTCCTA